GGCATTGGTTGCAGAAACATCTTTCTAGGTACGGGTCTTGTACTTCCCCCATACACAATTTCTAATCCACGTATTTCATTATAATGGATTTTCTTCTTCTTTTTAAGGAGGGGTTCAATTTATATTGAAAATGACATAAAATATCGAATAGTTGATGATTAAGACACAGGTGCAACAGTTGGATATCTTTATTGTTGAAACGTTTCGCCTTCACAGTAGGCTTCTTCAGTCAAATACAGAGACAACAGTGTGGTAGTGAAATGAAGATAATATTAACAAGTTCATCGACTTCAAATGCTATTCCTCCAAGACTGATTATATCACCGTCATCTCACTACTACACTGCTGCCTCTGCATTTGACTGAAGAAGCCTACTGTGTAGGCGAAACGTTTCAACAATATAGATACCCAACAGTTGCACATGTGTCTTAATCAGACGTTCAGTTTGCTTGGAGGTTTATGAGGGAGGCTGGATCTGCTATTTCCACTCCACACTCTTAAACTTTCCTGACTGCTTTGCTAGGTCCTTCTAATAATGGTGTAGAAACTTAAGCTGAATGCTAGTTTAGCCAAGACATCGACTTGATTAAACTTCCAGAGGTCCATGGAAGAGGGAATCCACACATAAAAAAAGTTTGACATGGATCCCATTATCGATAACTCGTACATACGTATTTCATACTAATAAACACGCAAGTTACACTTCCATTTTACTTTATTTACTACAAGAAAATAGAACATGGCTTTAATACCTGGAGGTTACCTGGAGGTTATTCCGGGGATCAACGCCTCCGCGGCCCGGCCCATGACCAGGCCTCCCGGTGGATCAGAGCAGACAGTGTTTCGTTCAAGAGAGATTTATGAAGCCATGGCCTAGTAAAGTTTACCTTGCTCTATCTTATCAGGACTTCATAAATATCTACACTGGATTTATTAGTCATTTTGTTAGGATTTATGGATACGCCATTCTGGAAGAAATGGATTCAAGTAACCTAACAGTGTATATACACATATACGTACACACTTCTCCCTGTAGACACTTTGAGGTACACAGGTCTCGGAGTATATGCATTGAGAGGTGTACACGTCTCAGTATATACTCTTCATGATTTTCACATTTCGGGATATACTCACCGAGAGATATACACCTCTTAATACACTGAGATATCACATCTGATAATACAAGAAAACAAGCTGGAAAAAGCACAAAGGTTTGCAACGTAACTAGTCCCAAAGCTGAGGCTATGAACTATGAGGAGAGGCTAGAGGAGCTAAATTGGACAGTATTAGAGGACAGAAGGACTAGAGTTGACATGATTACGACGTGCAGAATACCGAGAGGAATTAACAGAGTGGATAGAGCAAGCTTGTTTGAGAGGTGGGTCTCAGGTACATGAGGTCGTAGCTGGAAGCTAAAAACACAGATGAGTCGCAGAGATGCTAGGAAATACTTCTTAGCCTTGGAGTGGTCAGGAAGTGGGATAACCTAGACAACGAAGTGGTAGAGGACGGGATCCAGACGTGCTTTAGAACAGTGAGCCCAGTAGAGAGGCCAAGAGAGAGGCGGGGCCAAGAGCTGAGATTCGACCCCAATAGAAATAAGAAACAGTCCTTGATGACGCACTAACTTTCTTGGGTTATCTTGGGTGGCTAACCCTTCGGGTTAAAAATCCGATCAAATCTTTTCTTCTCCCTTCAGTCACAATTGAGTGCCTCTCAGTGTGTATACAGAGAGGGACTCACGTCTCAGAGGACGTACATCCCCAGCTAGAAGTGTGAAGGCAGTGGGAAGAGTGGTGAAGACAGCTGAAGAGTGAAGGTAGCGTGAACCGTGGTGAAAGCAGAGCGTGTCAGCAGACATTTGCTCACACAGCTTTGCCTGCCTAACAAGCATTCTGGTGGTCGTCGTATTGATTCCACAGCCTTCACTGAATTGTTCTGATAGCCTGTATACCACCTCAGGCCTTCCTCCTTCCTTCCTTCCCTCTTTCCACTCTCCTTCCCTCCCTTTACTCCAAATCCACCCATTATCAAGATTTCTCTTCTCGGGGGATTTATTTAACTACTTTACATGAAGCACTAAATCCGCATGGGTCTTTCAGCAGTGGTGGAGGCTCAGGGCCACCGTCCACTAAGCGAAACACACATCAATGCCTTTTGCCAGTTGTTAACTGGGACGATATTTCGATCCGTCACGAGCCATCAAAAAATATCAGGTGCAGAGAAATAAAAGTATATTATTATTATCCCTCCCACATACAGCGCATGGTGGGGGGGATATGGAAGTCATTCAGGCTCATTCAGGGAACTGGAGCACAGATTCAATTCCCTAGATGAAGAGCCCTCACCAGCATCAAGGAACCTCCCTTGAGGGGAATAAAAGTATAATTCTCATTTAAATGCGTGGGATGATGCAGACCTTAATTATTGCTCAGGATTATTCACAATAATTTTTTATCTATAACATAACGAAGAGGTAACGAGTTAAAGTTAAGGATAGTTTAATGGACTTCATAAAGTATAAATTAATTGTACAATGCAGTAACGAATAAAATGTATTAAAGCCTATATAAAAGGTCAAAAAAAAAAAGACAAAAGCAATATGAATAATGCATGGGAGTGAAGTGTTGAGGCCTGGCGCTGCTTTGCAATATCCTTCATAAACAAACACTGACAGATATGTTATGAAATGAACCTGATTCTCGAGAGGAGGAAGAGTGAATGTACCTACTTTTTCTTGTCTTCATTCGCGCTGTCACACCGACGACCATGATTTGATTACGTCTTCACACCGTGTTGTGGATACATGGAGCAGACTTGTCGTCAGTCACAGCAGAGCAACTGGAACAGCAGCAGTAGCAGCAGCAGCAGTAGCGGAAGTAGACGCAGTAGCAGTAAATCTTAAAGACTCGTCACAGGCCAATACCGTTACTGAGTAACGCAACAACTGGAGCTAATGCCCAGTTTTTATTCTTCAAAACTTTTAATACATAAAATAGTTACCCATACTTTTTAACATAAAAAACATATCTTTACAAAGTTAAATAAAGAATAAATTTGAGAATATTGTCTCTGTTGGGATACATCAGCACAGTGTCGCACACATTGCTGCATGATGCGCTTGCTGTATACTGACCCCGTGGTTGTTTCGTGTCTATGTGTGTGTGTGTGGGTGGGTGTGTTTATCAATAAGTTTGACTGCTGGAGAGGAGCAGCTCCAGCCACTGCTGATGTGAACTCACTGAAGACACTAGAAGTAGTCTGACGCGACTCTGACACCACGCAATGCGGCCCTACACACACACACACACACACACGCACAACACACCACACACACACACACACCACACACACACACACACACACACACACACACACACACACACACACACACACACACACACACACACACAGGTTAAGGGAAATCGACCTGACGACACTGGAGGACAGGAGATAGGGAAATATGATAACGACATAAAATACTGAGAGGATGGCGAGAGGATGTTACGAAGATGGGACACAAGAGAGTCACAACTGGAAGTCAAAGACAGACGAGTCACAGGGATGTTAGGAAGTATTTCTTCATCCACAGAGTTGTCAGGAAGTGGAACAGTCTGGAGAGTGATGTATTGGAGACAGCATCCACACATAGCTTTAAGAAGAGGTATGATAAAGCTCACAGAGCAGGGAGAGAGTGGGTCTAGTAGTGACCAGTGAAGAGGTGGGGCCAAGAACTATGAATCGACCCCTGCAACCACAATCAAGCAAGTACATATAGAATGATAGACATTGATTTCAAACACTTGCAGAGATATATACAGACACATCTAGAAACACAGGCTGATTATACAAATACAGACAGATAAATACAGACGCATATAGGTATATAACATTTTGGTGATAGAACTATCACCATCGTCAGAAGTCATATCCTGGAACATGACATAGTAATATATATCGACCATAAATGGTTGGTCTGCTAATGGGGTTTAAAGCGTATCGATCACACTAGGAATATGGCTACACTATCCTTTTCACCACCAGACAAGAATACTTTAACATCTAAAACAGTGATTAAAGTAAACTCTCAGCATATATATATACGCTGAGAGACATACCTCTCAGTATACGTATATATTCTGTGAGTTACAACGAACAGCCTAGGATAGGTAAGGTTTGTCAGGAAACAGGACAAGTGTATCGTGACGCGGGTCTTTTAGTCATATGACGACCTACAGCTGGAGCTTTTTTTTGGTCATCTGACCGAAATTATCAATTATTGGATCTCTTGATGTTAGTGTTCATATTATTTGGAATTAATTTTTTTTTTAACTTTTAAA